CACCCCTAGGCCGTACCTGGGCCCCAAAAATGTGTAGAATAATGGCCTTTATGGCTATTATTATGGATTTAGGGCTATTATTTTACATACGTTTGGGGTTTAGGTAAACCGCAAACCCTAAACCCGAATCCGTTCGTCTCCTGTAGCAGGACAAAACTTGACAGGCGGATGATGTGCTGCCACGAGTCCAGAACGCCCAACCCTGGGGCTCTACACCCTACACCCAACAAACACCATTAAGCTCCCAGGACTCTAAACCCTAAACCCTTAACGTGGGTACTGCCCCCACCCAGTAACAGTCTATATTCGGGGTCCTATTAAGGGCTATATATGTTTAAAATATAATTAGTATCCAACTGTTACTGAGGGGGGGCAGTACTGAACCCTTAACCCAATCTGAACTCTCATTCCTACACGCTCAACCTGGAGCCCGTCGAACCCTAAACACGTATCTCAAAACTGAACATCCAACAGCGTCGCCTCAACCCTCAGCCCTACAATGAACCCTAAACTTTAAGCCCCTGAACCCTGACTTCTTCTAAGCCCTGCAATATTCAAAAGGAAACCGATTTATATACACTCACACAAAACCAAACTACAAATCCTACTCAATACATCCTACACACATCGCCCTACCCCCTTCAAGCCTAAATCGTAACCCAAACAAAAAATGGAACGGAACTTTATGTCCTAAACCTCAACCCTAAACCCTAAATCCTAAACCCCAAACCCCACATCCTAAACCCCAAGCCCTAGACCCGCAACCCTAACCAGCTCACGTATCCAGGTGCCGGCGACAAGCAGAAGATCAGCTTCCCGTAGCTCGTGGGTGCGCTCGAAGAACCTTTTCGCGTTTTGAGTTTAGGGGTTTAGGGTTTGGGGATTAAGGTTTAGGGTTTAGGATTTTCGGTTTAGGGCCTACTTGGAGGTTCCTGATAAATCCCCCTAACTGGACCTGTAGGGTTTATTCATTTTGGAAGTAGGGTTATAAGCCCAGTTATATGTAGTTACTAAGTCCCATGAATCTATTCTGTGGGGTTGAAGTCAGGAAAACTCATTCTCCCATCCGAAAAGACCGAAAGAGCAAACAAATTAACACCGAATGAACTATTGTCTAAACTCTCGGTGTTCCCCTTTATAGGCCCTATAATACTCCGTATTATGATCCCCTGTCTAATCCCCCTTAAGGAGTTTCGACTATGGCTGAAATGGTTGTTTGTAGCATCTTCGTTTGCGGTGAGATGTTTAGGATGGTTCAGGTTTCGCATTCCAAGACCCTAACCGGTTTAGGATTCAGGGCGTGTGATCCAGAGTTTAGCGCTTGGAACTGAGCGTGATGGAAGCAGGGGCGTAGAGCATCCGCGGGTGATCTGGGATTGAAGAAGAATCGCTCTTGGAGGTTCTCGTGACTTGGCACTTTAAAAGTCTAGAGAGTAACGCGGGCTTTGGCATATGAATAAACCCCCCCTGCGTGACTGCAAAATCCAAATTCCCAGAACGTAATTACAAACTCCCCCGTAATTGCAAAATCCGATCTGCCAAACCGCAAAAATTGTTGGTGCTTTTACTATATTTTCTAGTAACTACTATTGCCTACGACGACTGGAGCTTCGGCTCATGGAAGCGGATACCCTTGATTACGGAGGCTCGGGCACATATGTTTGCGGGGCTGGGCGGGGGGAGGGGTTTCTATTCTGAAGTGAACAGTAATAGGGATTATTAGGACTAGTAAGTAGACTTACTAGAGCCTCCAAGCTTTTGAGGCCATGTAAGACTACGAAGAGGGTTGTGAGTCCAAAGGGCTCTTCTGGAAGATCGCTTCCGAAGAGGACAGTGTTCGGCTTCACCAGAGGACCTGGGCAGAGTATGGGTTCAGGGAATTTAGGGGGTTTAGGGGGCGTAAAGTTGAACTTTAGGGTAAAGGCCAAGATGCCCAAGTAACACGGTAAGGGTTTGGGGTTTGGGGTCGATGTATGTGCAAGTATGTACAATATGCAGATACTTGCACTTGCCGGGTGACCTTCAAGCTCTGCAACCCCAACTGCGGATGAACATGACACTTCTTTTCTTGGAAAAGAGTGTGGGCTCTAGACCTCTCAAAATATGTGGCCCTTCGGATGAGAAACGAACTTCTTCCCGTTTAAAAACTTGCGGTTGCTTGCCTGTCATGCTACTTCGTTTCCAGACGTTTATTTGGGATTTTAAACAGGCTCCCTTTCAAATATTATGGAAACTTGAAGTTCTTGCTTCCTGCACAGGTTTGTAAAAATCCTGGAGCGAATCCTAAACCCTACACTCAAACCCCACGCCCAACTCCAAACCCTACACTCCAGACCCTAAACCCTACAACCTATAAACCCTGAACCGCAAACCCGAAACCCAACCCCCACAGTTCGCTCTAAACCCGACAGCCTCAGCCTAGGTTATGAAGGGTTATATAAGGCTTATATGGGGTTTCCCAAAATTAGGGGTACCCTTTAAGGGGTCCCTATAATAAGGAGAAAATTCAATTGGGGTCTATATTGAGGTCCCTTATTTTGGGAGTCTACCATATATTACTTGGGATGACGAAAAATGAAAAATGGAAAGTACGCTGGAGATGCATGTAATCACTCACCCAGGGACGCTGACAGGAAGGGCATGGGATATTCGAGGATTCAGCTGGAGCATCAGGATCTACGCCGTAGATGTCCTCTGTGGATGAAGGCCAAAACCTAAATCCTACTCGAAGGATCGTGGCATCCTGGACTTTCTGAAAAATTGAGCTTTGGGGTTCTTAGATATGGGATATCAAAATGACGTGCCCAAGAGCCTTAGGGAGTTCAGACGTTGGCAGATTTCAGGTTTAGCGCTGAGACTTGCACAGGACTACCATATAGCTGCGGTGTTGAGCCCTAAACCCTACCTGAACCCAAAAGTATGTAAAATAATAGCCCCAAACCCATAATAACAGCCCTAAAGGCCATTATTTAACATACCTTTGGGGTCCTAAACCCTATATAACCCCATTATAGTCGTTTCCATCTTCTTTTCCATTATTCTACATACTTTTGGGGTCCGGGTAGACCCGAAACCCGAGATGATGCCGGGGGGAGGCATTGCCTTGCTCAAAGTCCAGGCCACCTGAGCTACTGGGGTTTAGGGTTTAGGGTTTAGGGTCTAAAGTCCTACAAGGAGGGGCCTTAGCAGAAAATGGATTGGATTTAGGGTTTAGGGCTTAGGGTCTACAAGGAGGGGCCCCCTAGTTATAAGTTGGGTTATAAGTTGGGGTAACTATGGTTATAAGTTCCATAAGTTGTAGTTATAGGACTTATAAGTATGGTTATGTAACTATGGGGCCCCTCCTTGTAGTATCCCCCCTAATAACCCCTATAGTAATCCCCTATATAATCCCCTAAATAACCCCCTTTTAAGGGAGTTTAGACTCTAGCTCACCTGAGGATCACCCCCAGGAATTTAGGGTTTAGGGCTTAGAGGGCTAGCCCGACCCTGGGAAATAAGGACACGAGAACTACCACATGACTCAAATAGATTCCCTCGCGTATGGGGTTGAGGCTACCAATCCTCTAGTTGCAGGTTCAGGGCACTTAGAACTATACCTCGAGCCCATTTATAGGCCCCTAAGTCCTCCAATTACTATGGTCTTATTTCGGCCTAAACCCACAAGCTTTCGATAACTGTTCTAAAATCTCGACGGAATCACCTGCACGGCCCTCCCTAAACGCTAAACCGCACTCAGCCGACCATGAAGACAGAGGCATTGGGGCTGCCTGGGGCAATATAGAATTCTGAGAAGTTGGCAATGTTGGCTATATAAAGGAGCATTATGCCCCAGACCTTGTTCTAGTTATTTGGCTCTAATAAACCCTAAACCTTTTGTGTGACATGAGGCGAGGCTGTTTGTAAACTGGCTCTGGCTAGAATGACCTCATGCCGAAGTCTAAAATCTTTCCTCCCCAGCCTCTAAAAGGAATGTGTTTTAGGGTTTAGGGTTAGGCTTTAGGGTTTAGGGTGGTGTAGGGTTTAGGGTTTAGGATTAGGGTGTAGGGTTAGGGTGTAGGGTTTAGGGTTATCAGATGTCGTTGATGTTGGCACCCACACCCCTATAATCCACCATGTAAGCTCAGTTTCCATTTCATTGTTCATCTTCTTTTCGATTTCTTTACCCATTATCCTAAACCCTCAACCCTACACATTCAACCCTAAACATTAAAACCTAAAGATTAAACCCTAAACCCTAAACCTAGAATCCTAAACCCTAAACCCTGATGTCCTTGATGTTGGTGCTAACTTTGTTGCAAAAGCTGTCGAACGGCATCTCCTCTATGCCAAGCTACATGGGGCCTGGGGGGGCCTAGCAGGGTTTAGGGTTTAATGCGGAGAAGGGTTTGGGGTGCAGGGTCTGGGAGTTTAAAATGGGGCTTCGTAACTACGAGTAACTGGGCTCATTATGAACTAACTAATTAGAGGCTCCGCGAGGTTGAAGGTTTAGGGTTGCTTGGAGCTTGCCTTAAAAGACTGCAGGTCCTGCGATCACAGACCCTAAGCCCTAAACCCTAAACCCTAAACCTTAACCAGTTTTGAGAGCAACTTACGCAGCCAGTTCTTGTTGTAGGTGCCTTGCTACAAACTCTTGGGCCAAGCCGGCTTCTACTCCTGCAGACTAGGGCTCTCCCTGCCCCCGAGTAATCCCAGTACGACAACCTAAACCCCAAAAGTATGTAAGATAATAGCCCTAAACCCATAATAATAGCCATAAAGGCCATTATTTTGCATACTTTTGGGGTCTAGGTATACCTGAGTGATCTGCATGGAGCATTGTGAGGAGATTAAAAAGGTCTCGGGTTACAGATTACATAGGGATGAGAACCATACGGTTTCCAGACGCTCCCACCCAAAGCCCTGAGCCCGACACAAAAAATCTCAAGTCCAATAGCACTCGCCTATCTCAAGGTGAACTCACATACCCGTCCCTAAACCCTAAACCCTATACCCGTCTCCTTCCCGCATCCTTCGCATGAGACGCGCGCAATGCTGCCGTGCACATTTGTCACGATAGCAGGCGAGATGCCTCTGCTACTAGTTCTAGGGTTCAGGGCTTGAATCTAGGGATCTAGGGTTAGAGTTCGAATCCTTTTCTGACCATTATCTACCTGCAACAAAAAGGGTCTCATCTCCCTTGAAGGACATGAGCGGACTTGATCTTGAATTCCCCTGAAGCAGGAGGAGAGATTCCCCCTGCTGGAAAATTATTGTTTTATGACAGCACGTGGTAGAGATAAAGGGATGAAGGCAGCTAAGGTTTAGGAGTTGCTTTTGTACAGTCCCTTCTTCGCAGCATTCATCTTAGTTAGGTGGTCGGTGTGTGGAAAAGAGTCCTACCCTTCCACATACCCTAAACCCTAAACCCTTAAACCGTCCAATGAAACCTTTCTCAACTATGGCCAGGCGCCGGTTTGGTAATCGAGACCATCGATGTTCTGAGTGAACAGTCTTTTCAACTTCCCTTCCTCTTCGAGAAATTTGATAAACCAGTGAGAAATGGTGGCTTTCCACTGTCGTCTGTGGGTGCCGAGGATAAAGGGCCGCCTGCGCAAAGATGCCGTGGGTCGTTCAATTCAGCTCAAGTAGCAATTGCTGCTGGTCTTTACCCCTCTATACACTTTCACTTCCCAGTAAAGGCCACCATAAACCATACCAAGCAAAGTATCTTTACTGCCTTAAATCCTTGAAGGCAAACGTAAGTATTGATTTAGATTTCTGGACACCCCAGGATCATACCTCACAGGTACGCACCAAAAACTTCGAAACAGCCAAAGAGCTCTCCCCAACATAGGATAGATGACCACCTCACTTCCAGGCAAGACGAAACTTTTGCCAAATCCTTAAACAACCCTAGACCCCAAACCCTGAGCCCTAGGACGCGGGACCTCACTTCCAGGTAGGGAAAGGCATTTTGGAAGAACATGTCCCTGTCGACCACGTTTGTAGGATCCATCCTCATCCTTTGCCCTGGGCTCGATCTCTAGTGTGGAGTTTTGGGGTTTTAGGGTTTTAAGGGTTTAGGGTTTCTAGGGTTTAGCGTTTCAAGCTTTTAGGGTTTGAGGTTTAGGGGTCCTTGGTGAGTTTGCTCTGGGGTTTAGGGGTCCTTGGTGAGTTGGCTCTGGGGTTTAGGGGTCCTTGGTGAGTTGGCTCTGGATTGAGGGCTTAATGCTCAGGACGTTTTAGGATGTAGATAAACACTAAACACTAAACCCCAAATCCTAAACCCCTAAGCCCTAAATCCCTAAACCCCTAAACACCTAAACCCTAAATCCTAAAGCGAGTTGGTTGGCAGCTAGGTGGGAGATTCAGATCTCTGTAGCCTGGAGGCCAGGGTAAAACTTGTTTCCGACCAGTGCTGTTTTTTTTGTGGCTGAACCAAGTACCTGGGCCCCAAAAGTATGTAAAATAATGGCCTTTATGGCTATCATTCTGGGTTTAGCGCTACTATTTTACATACCTTTGGGCTCTAGGTAAGGTCCTTTTCTGAAAAAAATCTTTAGAATCAAAAAGCAATGGAATCTTACACTGTTGCAGGAGCTCAAGCATCCTTTTCTAAGATATGACTCAGGAGGCAATTTGGGATATGGGGCTTAGGCTTTCGGTTTGGGGCTCTGAGGTTTAGGATTTGGGGCTTTGGGGTTGAGAGTTCAGAGTCGATACAGCTATAGTCCCCCTTCAGTAGATAGAATATGGCTTTGGGTATATCAAAATCAGATCCCCATATGCCCAATATTCTATCTACTGTACATAAGGGGCTAGACCCTGAACCTAACCCTAAACCCTAAACCCTAAACCCTAAAACCATTAAACCCTTTTAGGCGCCAGGGTCGAGGGTGCCAGGCTTTGGAGCAAAGCTTTGGGGGCTGAGGCTCCTGCTCAATCCCCCAAGAGCTAAACTCCTTAAATCCTGAAGCTTATCTACAGACCTTGTACCTGCATATATAGATATATATGCATACAGGACCCGTTTAGTTGCTGCGGGGTATGTTGAACTATACTTATTGGATTGCAGGCCCCTGTTACAGCTTCGATAGGTCTTGAAGTTCATTTCTAAGGGGCATACCGAGAAACTCCTACGTTTCCGAGACGCGGCCATTCAATTTGCGGCGGATTCAGCTAGGCTAACTTCCCTTCTATAACATGTAGAAGTTCCTCCTCTCCCAAACGAACAGTTGAACATGAAAACCCAAAGCATACTGTAACACGGCAGTAGTCTCTATAGGTCTGTTTTTGAACCTCAATACCCTGATTCGAAAAATATGTACATCATGTTACGAACCCTCTTATCATTCAATGTTATGTTCCTTACCCCAAACCCTAAACTGCATGTACCCTAGCCCTTTGGCTCAAAATAGCCAAAGAGCATCGTATAGTATCCCTGGAGCCTTAGGGTAGGTCTCTTGGGGCTCCCAAAGCGCAAACCTTGCCCCTTGGAAAGCCCCGGACACTCCCAAAGAGCCTTACGCTAGTTTAGGGTTTAGGGTTCAAATATTATTTTTTTTTTCAACCCCTCGGACTTTTCTGCCTGCCTGGTTCAGGTAGTTTAGGGTTTAGGCTTCATAGGTCCCAAACACCACTCAGTTTCTGGTATTTGGAACTGAAAAACTTAAACATGTGAGTCCTTTTGACCCTAAACGCTAAACCCAGAAACACCTAGACTATCGAGCTTCCTGGGCGTGCTAACAGTCGCCCTCGAGTAGATACCATGTGGAACCCAACAAATCATAACAGTCCATAAACATATATATATACATATATCTAGCCCATATTCTATCTACTTAAGGGGACTATACCCCAGACCTTAAACCCTCAACCCTCAACCCTAAGCCCTACACCCAAAATCCTCAACCCTAAACCCTACACCCAAAACCTCAACCCTAAACCCTACACCCAAAACCCTCATCCCTAAACCCTACACCCAACACCCTCAACCCTAAACCCCATTCAAACCATGTGTCTTTGGAAGAAGCTTGCAGTTATCAGGTTTGGCCGAACCGAGTTATATAGGCCGCCCGCAGATCTGAAGTCTGGAATGCCTCCAGGGATTAGGGTTTAGGGTTTAGGGTTTAGGGTTTTCAGGATTTGGGGATTTAGGGTTGCGCAGATTTTGGGCCAATTTCGGAATTTAGGGTTTGGGGACTGTGGGTCACGGGAAAGGGTTGAGATTTATGGATCGGATTGATGGTTTCGGGATTGAGGGTTTACGGATCTGGGGCGCGGGCAGTCTGTTATGAGAGGATTTTGGTAACCTGACCCCATGTTGGGGACCTTGTTAAAGACATAAGATTGTCATGGTTGTAGGGTTCCCTTTCTAAGTGTTGGAATTAACAAGAACCTTTTGTTACCAAGCTACGTTTTCCAAAATCCCTGAAAAAGTAAGGTGCCTTACATCACTACTAAGGTGCTTGATATAATCTGAGGGTACAATCCTCAAACAAATCTGCACACTGCTGAATCAGGAAAAGGGTTTGGGTTCAGGGTTTAGGATGCAGAGCTTAACGTATCTAAGACACAGGGGGTAGTAGCGAAACTCTTGCACATTATCTCGCATTCCGGCGCTACCCGGAGTAATCCCAAGCGGACCGCAAGAAAAGATGTTGACCAAACCACCAGAAGCTGAATTCAAACCTTGGAAACCTTAACCCTAGCCATTCATCAACAACTTACGGGAAACTTAGCTGTCCAGGAACCCGCCGTAAAAGTCAAACTTTTGGCCTCCTTATAATAGAGAAAGTAGGAAGCCCAAAAGTTTGAAGTCCTAACAGCCAGGCAGAAGACAGCTAAGGAAAGTGACAATAATTTCAGAATCCTCCTTCCACGACACCTGCGCCAGTTGAAACGCCAGCGCCGGTGAGCACGAAGACAGATTTGCCTCGGCTACCGGCCAGTTCAAGGTGGTTTAGGGTTCATGGTCTAGGAACAACTATAGGGTCGTGGCATATGGCCTATAAGGATAGGCGCAGAATTTTGACCGTTTCATGAAGGAAGGTTTTCAATGTCAAGAGATGTAGGTTGGGTACTGCGCCTATCCAGTCAAAGTCTATAAGAGGGGTAATATAAAGGGTTATCTGTCTCTATCGTATCAAGGGCCCTAAGCCCTAAACCCTTATACAAGTATATTCCAATTATTGTCCAACTGTTTCTGAGTGGGGGCAGTACCACAGGTGCAGGTACCATATAACCCCAATATAGCCCCTAACATACTGTAGTAGCTTCCATTTTCTTTTCCATTATCCCAATATAACCCCTATATAACCCCAATATATACTCTATTAGTGTAGTAACACAACTAATTAATTTCACTCCTCAGTCCTCCTGAAGCACGACCAAGTAGGTGACCCAGGGTTTAGGGCTTAGGGTGTAGGGTTTACACCCGTATGGTCAAAGTCTCCCAATAAGGCTGCAAAAAGAGATGCTTTCAGGTTCCCCAAAACCATTTACACTTCAGCGCCTGGTACACGAATTTGGATCCTCAGCCCTAAGCCCCTAACCTTTAACCCCCAGATCCCAAACCCCAAAACCTAAACCCTCAGTACCAAATCCTTAGCCCTCAACCCGTAAATCCCAGGCCCTAATCCCCCAAACCCTAGATTCAGATGAGCTACAGTCAATACTACCCAGATGGTCAATGGACATGGGTCCTTACTGGGGAGTATATGAAGGACTATGACTATAACCAAAAGGATCTATGTCCACTTGGATTGGTCCATTGTAAGCCCAGTCTTGACAGTAGTTCAATCCTTATACTACCACGGTCTAGTCCCAGCTTCCATGTCATTTTCGATTTCATGTCCAGCTGAATCTCCATCATGAGTGTCATATCCCTCAACCCTAGATCATCCCTGGTCCACCCTAAAGACTAATTCCTAAGTCCTAAACCCTAATCCCTAAACCCCTACACCCTAATCCCTAAACCCTAATCCCCAACCCCTACCCTTAATCCCTAACTTCTGATACTATACTCCCGCCCCCCCGCCAAAAAGCCTCCTAAAGCGGCCCTAAACCCGACCCTAAGGGTCCAAGTACCAAATCATCTGGTACTTGGGTTTTGGGTAATAGTAACTGTAGTATAGCTTTTGGGCAAGTACATGATTATTAGGTACTTGGACCCTTAGGGCTAGATGCAGATAGAGTCACAGGCCCCGGAGCGTAGGTAGGCAGCCACACGCGTCAGGTCTGAGGCTCTTAGGCTCGCAAGGTCTGCCAGGTTTGTCACCTACCAGGGGCTTAGGGTTTCGTAGGGTTTAGGGTTTTGTATGGTGTATATAGGGTTTAGGGCTTTTGGTTTCGTATGGTTTAGGGTTTAGGGCTTAGGGTTTTGTATGGCTTGTGGTTTAGGGCTTAGGGTTTTGTCTGGCTTGGGGCTAAGGGTATGGTTTAGGGTTTAGGGCTTAGGGCTTCGGGCTTTGTAAGGTTTAGGAATTAATTAGGGTTCCTAATTAGGACTACAAGAAAAGGTCTCCTTTTTTGGAATATGGCTCAGTTTTATAAAGAGCTTGGGACCCCCAAAAAGGGGAAAAGGGCTTGCTCAACACCCCCAGCTGCCAGGGCTCAGGGGCTGTAGGGTCTTTCGCGGTCTAGGGTTTAAGGTTTAGGGCCTAGGGTTTAAGGTTTAGGGCCGTTTACTTGTTTCGGGTTTAAGGACTGTAGGAAACCCGAAACCCTTGACCTCATAGTGACGTCCAAACCTACCCCATGAAAGCCTAGGATAGCCCCAAGAGCCCCAGAGTAGGGCTTACGGTTTAAGATGTTGCTCGATTTAGGGTTTAGGCTCTAGAGGTTTAGGGTTTAGTGGTCTAGGATTTAGGATTTAGGGTTTGGGGTTTGGGGTTTCGGGTTTTAAGGTTTAGGGTTTAGGGGTTTGGGATTTAGAGTTTGGAGTTTAGGGTTTAAGGTTTAGAGCTTAGGCTTTAGGATGGCTGTAGGGGTATATGGCGTGTGGGCGCAGCGTCGCTGTACACCGTTTG